AGCACCTACTATTTGCCAGGTACTGTGCTGACTGGTTTACAAATATTATCTCAGTTATTTCTCATAGCAGCCCTTGGAAGTAGGTTCTGTTATCCTCGTTTTACAGATGAAGAAACTGAGGCAAAAACAGAGAAAGTGACTTGCCCAAGGTCATACTGCTTGTGTCTGAGTGTCATATACAGCTCAAATATAAAGTGAGGAAATAAAAATATATTGAAAGTATTTAAGTACAAGGTAGTGTCTGAAGCCAAATTTAAACTTAAGTCTTCTTGACTCCAGCATTTTATCCACTGTGCCACCTAGCTGCCCCTTTAGTAAAGCTATGGCTTTAGTTCAGGCCCACAGCACCTTTGACTTAGATTACTACAACCTACTAATTGTTTCCATGCCACACTCCAGTCTAACAACGTACATACTGCTGCCAAAGGGATTTCCTTTAAGCTCATATATGGCCATTAACTCCCCTGCTCAGTCAGCTCAGTTCCAGTGCCTTCCTCGTGCCTCTTGGATGAAATACCTGTTTAGCTTTTAAAGTCCTCCTGGACCTGGCCCCCCACCTATCTTTCCAGGCCCATTGGACAGAATTCCCTTTCCTGCACTCTGCAGTTCAACCAAGTTGGCATCCTCTCTGCTCCCCACCCATGTAACTCTGTTTCCCTTTTCCAAGATTTTACGCTGGCTTGTCCCCAGTGTGTGGAATGCAGCCTCTCCTCACCTTCACCTCACCAAGTTCCTCTCTTTCCTCAAGTTGCAACTCAAGTACTAGCTTGTTAAAAAGCCTTTCCTAGGAAACCTCCCAGTTTCCAGTGTCCTTCCTCCCAAAATACCCTGTGTTCAACTACTTTTCATATATTTATATTTCTTCACTTTATATTGTATGTATATTTTTTAAATTCAATTTTATTTTCTGTTCATTTCCAGATTGTCTCCTTCCCGCTTACTCTCCCCCAACCCATTAAGAAATCAAGAAAAAACAAAACTTGTTACAAATTTGTGTAGTCAAACAAAACGAGTTCCTGCTGCTAGCCGTAAGGGCGTGTGAATATGTATGTATGCATGTGTGCATGTATGTATGTACACACATGCATGTGTGTGAAAGCGCACACTTCAGTGTGTGCTCTTAGTCCCTCGGCTCTCCCTCAGGAGGTGGATAGCACGTGTCCTCGGGAGTCCTCTGGAGCTCTGGTTGGTTCCGTTGTGTTGATCAGAGTTCCCAGGTCGTTCACAGTTCCTTGTCTTTGCAGGGTTGTTATTGTGAACATTGTTCTTGGCATGGGTTCATGCAAATCTTCCAAGTTTTTCTTTGTCATTTCTTTCAGAACAGTAGCATTCCATCACATTCCCATACCATAACTTGTTCAGCCATTCCCTAGTTGATGGGTATCCTCTCAGTTTCCAGGTCTTTGCTGCCACAAAAAGAGCTGCTATAAATAGTTTTGTGCATGTGGGTCTTTTCCCTCTTTCCTTGATCTCTTTGGGATACAGACCCAGAAAAGGTATTGGTGAGTCCACGGGTACACACAGTTTAATAGCCTTTTGGGTATAGTTTCAAATGTGCTTTCCAGACCACCAGTGTATTAATGTCCCTGTTTTACCATAGCTTATCCAGAAGTTGTCATTTTCCTCTTTTTGGTTAGCTTTGCCAATGTGATGTTTGTGAAGTGGTGCCTCAGAATTGTTTTCGTTTGCATTTCTGTGATTATTGGTGTATTTAACAAAATAAATACAAAGTACAATAAAACAGATAATGTTGCATTTATTTTTATTTTTTTTTTTTTATTTTTGCTTTTTGGTGAGGCAGTCAGGGTTAAGTGACTTGACCAGGGTCACACAGCTAGTAAGTGTCACGTGTTTGAGGTTGAATTTGAACTCAGGTCCTCCTGACTATAAGGCCAGAGCTCTACCCACTTCACCACCTAGCTGCCCCTATAATGTTGCGTTTTAAAACTTAAGTCATTATACAGCCTGCAGGGATCCTTATGTGCAGTTTAGCGGGCTCCCTTCTTTCTTGAGTTTGATACCTCTCATTTAAAACATTTTTTTATGTCATTATAGATAGATTTCTTTTTTTGAAAACTGCCTATTCATATCCTTTGACTGTTTATCAATTGCAAAATGACTTTTATTCTTATAAATTCGAATTAGTTCCACATAGGGACTATCAGAGAAACTTGCTGCAAAGATGCTGTATATGTTTTTATATGTATTTGTTCCCCTTGTAATCTCCTTGGGAGTAGAAATTGTTTTCTTTCTTTGTATCTCTTGATCAGAGAGGTCCTCAACCTGGGGGGGGGGTCGTCTGTGGACAGAGTTCAAGGGGTCCTTGAACTTAGATGGGAAAAAATTACATCTCCATTTCAATAAAATTGATTTGCTTCTTAATCCTATATATTTAATTTTATGCACATAAAAATATTCTGAGAAGGGGTCCAGAGGCTTCCTCAGATATGGCCAGAGAGGTCCATGATACCCAAAATGGCTAAGAATCTTGCTGTAAAGTATAAAAACAACTATATTAAATGTAAATACTAGCTTTATGCTATTCTGTTCTCAGTCTTTGCTGAACTCAAGAAGCTTTTTGACACTTTAATTGCATAATTTTCTGTCTTTTATAATGTTGTTTGATAAAACTTTTCACATCTTAATAGCAATAGTTTTTCAAAATACTCTCTACTAAAGGTATATTAAAAATCTTATTTATGCTTGGAGACCTAAATTGTTTCCTGTACTGGTACATGCTTTCTTCTCTTGACTTATTTCAATTATTATTTTAATTTTTTTAGGTGGTTGTGTTTGTGTTGGCTATTTCATTGGTTAACTGAATCAGGTCCAGGTTCTATAGTGTTTCCTTCCACAAGGAAGCTTTTAAATTGGTGGGGTTTTTTTTCCTTTTTTTTTTTAATGAAAAGATTTATGATATTGTTCATAGAAGTTGGAATAAAATTTAGTCCTTTATTTTTGAACATATCTGAGTACTATTCTATTTCCTTTTTATCCAGTTTTTAAAAGCTTTATTTTATGCATCTTCGTTAATTTGCCATCAGTTGTTTTTTAAGTGCTAGGAAAGCATCAGTTTTTGTTAATAAGAGGAAACATAGCATTGCAGGGACATAGCTAGACTTATTGTCAGTAGACTTGAGTTGGAGTCCCAGAGCTACCACACATTAGTTCTGTGACCTTGGGCAAATAAATTTAATTCTCAGAGCCATGATTTCTTAGGTGCCTTTCAAGTCTTACTCTTCGTGATTTTATTTAGAAGCTCACAACTATTTTTCACTTGAGATATGTCTGAGCTATTGGGATAAAATGTTTTTGCCTTTTAATGACATAATTTAAAAATTAACATTATTTATATTTCATTCTTTGTGTATTAAAATTATCACTGATAAGAAATGAACATAAGTGAGACTTGTTTCCTAAATTTTTTATCGAAAATTTATTGAGTGATCACCTGGAATAATGTCAGGGAGGTAAATAAGGGCAATCTCTGGTCAAATTAAGGTGTTTCTCTAAACCACTCAATAATGAACCTCAGCAGTCTGGTAGCATTACAAGGTGTTGTTCACAGTTGAATGAAGGTGCCTGTCTAAAGACCAATCTTTGTAAAGTACAAGCTGTCCTGCTCTGATTTCACTTGATGCCTATCTAGTGATGGGAAAAGAACGTAGCTCTTAGGGTTTGTTTGTGTTTCCCAGAGAGTATGTGTGGACAGGGTTTTCTCTCTTCAGCTCGCTTCCTCCCAGCTTGCAGGGGCATCTTCCAACACACATGTGGTAGTGTCCAGTTGAATAGAATCTAGCTGCAGTGTTGAATCAAGTCAGTGTGAAGAGCTGAGAGCTTGGTACTTGTGGTGGTATCTGGCCTGAGAACCAAGAGTCCTGCTGGCCATAGAGAATGGGTTCTGGTTCTTTCTTAAAGACAATAGACGTACCCTTACACCGGGACTTTAGCTTGGCCCAAAGCTGGAGATGATGGAAACTAGCACTGTTCCTAGGGCAGGGGTACCAGTTCTTTCCTAAACTGTGTGGCTGTCTCGTGGGCCAGGGTTTTTGTCAAGCCTGAAGCTGCCAATAAATGCCCTGTGTCCCATGCAGGGAGCAGGATCGATGACCCAGTGGAGAGCCTTTCACAAGGGCATGTTGAAAAGATGTCTGGGGGCCCAGTGATGCAGGAGGGATGAGGGGCCTTAGCTACAAGTGAGCTTCAGTATTGAATGTCTTCAAGGAGAGGCTGGATGACTTTTCTCACGATTCCTGGTCAGTTCCCAGTTAGATTAGATAGTTGGACATCCTTTCCACTTCTAAGATTCCATGGTATTATAATTGTGTTACTGTTAAATTCCATGCTTGAAGAAGTATGCTCTTTTTAGATGGTACCCTGTTAGGTTTTTAATTTGTCATATCTCTTCATAATCTAGTTGAAAAGTAAATTGCCTAGCAGTTAATAAAACATCTACTATATTCCACGTACTGTGCTAAATGCTGGGGCTACAAGGAAAGGCAAAAAACAGTCCATTCTTTCAAAGAGTTCACAGTTTCATGAAGGTCACAATATGCTAGCAACTACATTGGAAACAGGATTCGTCAGGATGAATTGGAGATAGTCTCAGAGGGAAGATGCCCACATTAAGGAGACCTGGGAGAGGCTTCCTGCAGAAAGCCAGAGAAGCTGGGAAGCTGAGAAGGGGGAGGAGAGTGCCCCAGGCATGAGCAACAGCCAGCCGGAGCAGCCAGTGGGCCAGTGTCGCTGGGTCATGGAGGCAGAAGGGACCAGGTTGGGAAGAGCTTTGAAAGCCCAGCAGGATGATATGTTGGAACCTGGAGGTTCAGGGCAAGCTGTTGGAGTTTGTTGAATAGAGAGGGGCTGTGGTCAGATCTATGTGGTAGGAAGATCACTTTGACAGCTGAGAGGAGTGCAAAAGTATTTGTTTCAAAATTTATTACAACTTTTAAAATTATTATTTTAAGTAAATCTTGATGTGTTTTTTTCTGGTTCCACAGAACGGAAAGATGCAGAAGGATGGGAGACTGTGCAGAGGGGGAGGCCGCTCCGTTCACGATCTACAGCAGTAGCCCCCAAAGTTCCAGTCATTACAGAACCTCTGAGGTCAAAAGATGACAGTGATAAAGAAAATGTCCTTCTCTTTCCCGTGGAAAGCCAGCAGAAAGGTGGATTTACTGGGGATGGTCCAGCCAATGTTGTAGAGCCTCTGCCCAAGGAGCCATTACCTCCTTGTGAATGTCCTCTGGCTGAAAGAACCCAGGTAGGAGAATCCAGACTCCCATGGCTACTTTTGTTTTTATTATAGTGTGTTAAATGGTAGCAGTATTACTTACCCGTAAGTTTCTTACCCACAAGTCAGCAGCTGTTTGCTAGTTTATTTATATTAATCAATTTGAAATGCTTTAATTATTGGATTTGGACTGAAGTCCTCTGCCAGTACCTCATCTTATTGTGGTGGTAACTCCTAAATTTTTGAAAGCCGTGGTAATAGAATACAAACCCAAGTAGGACGTGCTAAGCTTGGAATATAGGGTAGGTGACAGACTATCTGCTTTTTTTCAGGACTACCACCTACAAATATTTATTATGAGATTGTTATGTTTTAGGTACACGTAGAGGTATTAACGTGTACAAAGATAAAAAAGGGGGCAGTTCTTGCCTGTGAGGAGGCAGGGGAGAGAGTGGCTTAGACATATATAAATATACTACCCTAACAAAGGAACAGGTGGGTGGCACAGTGGATAGAGGGCCGGGCCTGGAGTCAGGAAGACCTAAGTTCAAATCTAGCCTCAGACACTTACTAGCTGTGTGACCCTGGGCAAGTCACTTAACCCTGTTCGCCTCAATTTCCTTATCTGTAAAATAAGCCGGAGAAGGAAAGGGCCAGCCACTCTAGCATCTTTGTCAAGAAAACCCCAAACGGGGTCACAAAGAATCGGACACGACCGAAATGACTGAACGTCCACCACACCAACCCCTAACAAAATATGAAAAGCTCATCTTCAGGGATTGCTGGTTGTACGTTATTGAGCTCTGATTGCTCTTGAAGGCTGTCCTCCTGAAGTATGGAGGGTGCGTGGGATCTGCATTAGTAGAAGGAGGTTGCACTACTGATGAAATCAGTCTTGAGGCCCCAGTGGGATCTCTTTACCCCAGGTGAGAAGGTAGAGGCAGAAACTATTGCCTCTGGTTTCAGGAGAAGTCTGAGGCCTTGTTTTGGAATCAGCCCATACCACGTGCCAGGCACTGTGCTAAGAGATTGGGATACAAACCTAAGCAAAAAGAAAGACAGTTCCCTGCCCTCAAGGTGCTTATGTTCTAATAGGGGATGAGAGCAAAGGGAGCCAAAAGCAAGCTTTCAGAGGGCCTGAGGGTGAGGGAGAAAGTAAATCTCTGTGTGGGGCGGTAGGGGGGTGAGAGAGCCCCTGAAGCGTGGTGGCCAAGTCAGGAAAGTTAGCGTTGTGTGTGAGAAATAGTGCACTGAGCAGTGTGGAGGGACCACAGAGTGTGGGGGCAGGGGAATCATGTTGAAAGGCTAGAAAGATAGACAGGCCCCAGGGTGTGAAGGGCCAAACCCTGGAGGGAATAGGAAGCCATCACGGTTTACTGAATGGGGGCCTAATGCAGTCAGACCTTTGTAGGAAGAGACATATTTGAGAGATATTCAAGAGAGAAATCACAAGATTTGGCAGCTGACCGGATGTGGTTAAATGTGAATGAGGGTTGGGAATCTGGGTAGCTTAGAAGACGTCAGCCCCCTGAAAGTTTGGTAGAGGTGTACACTGCGAAGAAAGACTCTGAGTTCTGTTTTGGTCATGTTGAGTATGAAATACAAGTCTTAGGTGTCTTGTTTGAAATGTCCCATAAGTGACTGGGTCTGCAGATAGAGATCTGGGAATCAGTGCATTAAGATGGTAATTGAACCCTTGAGAGCTGATGAGATGGGGAAGTGAGAAAGTGAATAGAGGAAAGAGAAGAGGGCCAAGGCAGTGACAGTTTTTTTATATGATGCATCCAAGAAAGAGATATTGAGCTTTTACTGTATAGATATGTGGTAAAGAATACAGTTAAAAATTGTTTTTTCTTTTAAAATTTTTATTGGTATAATTTGTTGTTACGTTGACTAATCTCTTCTAGTACCCCTCTCCTTTCACTGGAGTCACTCTGTATAACAAAGATTATTTTTAAAGAAAAAACGAATGAAAAGGGGAAAAAACTCTTTAAAAAACTGGTAAGAGATTTTGAGGTTTTGTTTTCTTACTCAATTTGTATCTCTTTTGTTTTATTGGATTATTTAATCAATTCATATGTAAAGTTATGAGTTAAATTAATATTTTTATTCTTGTCTCTAATATGACTTTCTTTTTCAGAATTGTGATTTTTAAAAAATTCATCCTCTTTAAAGATATTGTTTCTTAAGTTATTTTTGCTTAAGTTATTTTAAGGAAACCCTATTTCCATAGGTTCTTTTCACCCTTAAATTAATCCCTTCATTCCCAATTGATAAATGGTCAAAGGAAACAGGCAGTTTTTAGAAGAAATCAAAGCTGTCAATAGTCAGATGAAAAAATGCTCTAAATCACTACTGATTAGAGAAATGCAAATTAAGACAATTCTGAGGTAGCACCTCACACTTATCAGGTTGACTAATGTGACAGAAAAGGAAAATAAGAAATGCTGGAGGGAATGTGGAACTATAGGGGCACTAATGCATTCATGATGAAGTTTTGAACTCCAGCCATTCTGGAGAACAATTTAGAACTATGCCCAAAGGGCTTACCCTTTGACCCAGCAATATTACTAACTAGGTCTGTATTCCAAAAAGATGAAAGAAAAAGGAAAAGGACCCATATGTACAAAAAATATTTATAGCAGCTTTTTTTGTGGTACCAGAGAATTAAGGGGATGCCCATTAATTGTAGAATGGCTGAACAAGTTGTGGTTGTATGATTGTGATGGAACACTATTGTGCTTTAAGAAGTGATGAGCAGGGCAGTTTGAGAAAAACCTGGGAAGACATTAGCAAACTGATAAAAGGTGAAGTGAGCAGAAGTAGCAGCGCATTATGCACAGAAACAGCAATACTGTAATGATGGTCAACTATGAAAGACTTAATTACTCTGATCAATACAGTGATCCAAGGTAATTCCAAAGGACTCATGATGAAAAATGCTATTTACCTCTGGAGACGGAACTGATGAACTGAGTGTAAATCAGAGAATATTGTTTCTCATTTTCGTTATTTTTTTTGCCCTCTCCCTTACCCCCCTTCCAACATGGCTAATACAGAAGTGTTTTGAGTGACTTCACAGGTATAATGGGATATCATCTTGCTTGCCTTCTCAATGGATGGGAGAGGGAGAGAATCTGGAACTCAAAATATGAAAAAAGGAATGCAATAAATAGATAAATAAATAGATAAATAAATGTTCTCCTATTCTTTGTACCCCTCTGTCATCCTTTCCCCTAGTTTTTAGAGTTTACTTATTCATGCCTTTTTCATTCTTCCTTTTACATAATTTAATTCTCCCTCTTTTTTCTTTCTCCATTAGTTGATTAAAATCCTCCCTCTTCTCTCCTTTAACTTATTTTGTTTTTAAATATTTTGTGTCTTTTTCTAAAAAGGATCTCTTTATTTTGTTATCTTCATTAATTCTCTTTTCTGTCTATTCTGAACTTTTATTCTTTCATTCATGGTCTTTATACATCTTTATTTCTTCTTTAGTCTGTGTTCCTCCGAATTAAAGCTTTTTCTCTTTTGCTTCTTTGGAGAGATTTGCCAAGGCAGATTCAAGTTTTTCAATTCTGTCAATCATTTCTCCTGTATAGGCCACACATTCTGCTTTGAAGATTCTTATTTCTCTCTTGTACCATTCGGGAGCATCCTGCTGTGATTCCATGCACTCCTGGGAAGCCAACATTTTTGCTGCCTCGTCATGTGTTGCTTCATTTTTCTTTGTCTTGTTATATTTACTCAGAGATTTCTGGGTTTGTTTAGATGCCATCTTCCCTTCTGTTATTAATAGCTAAACTGTTGATGTATCTGTGTACACTCAACTTCTTAAACAGAATTTTCTTTGGGATCTCTGCAATCTTCATTCTTTTTTCTTTTGCTCCCCTATCATTCAGTCTCTGATTCCTTTTCTCTTGATGGCAGATCCCTGAAGGTTGGAATTCTAAGGTGTCTATCATGCACTATCACTGACCTCAGTCCCTACACCGAGTGACTTCAGTGAGTGCAGAACTGGCTCCAGCTAGAGGCTAGCCTCCTTTCCTCCCTGCCTGGGGTAGCACTCCACACTGGCACCCTGCTCCCCTTCTCTCTGTCCTTTAGTTCAATGGCTGAGATGTCCTAGGCTGACCCAATTTCTGACTTCCTCTGTCTCCACCTCCTCTGTAGCCATTAAGAACCAATCTCCCACAGTGCTATATTGCCACAGGATTGTCTAATTTGGAAGCAGGGCTCAGTGCCGCTTGGGAAAAGCCAATTTTATCACTCTGGGAGGGCGGCAGCAGGCGGGCCTGGTGCTCCTCCTGAGGTGGATGAGACCCGGCTGAATCCCCCAGGGGCTCGGAGCTCTGAAAGAAGCCGCTCGCTCTCGCCTCCGACCACTAAGACGTCTCTAAAAATTTTTTTAAAAATAATTTATAACTTTTAATCATGGATGTGATATAATCTGATAGTGCATGATAGACAAATTTGTCTGGTGGAAGCTTTCAAGGACAATTTATGAAAAGTCAAAGCAATTTGCCCCAAATCTTATTCTAGTGCTGTCCAATAAAAGTTGCTGAAGGTTTCCGAGTTCATAGTGATATTTGTTTTCCCATTGTCGATTGGAAGATTGAGTTTTCATGTTTTTATCTTTTTCAACATGTCTTTATGCTTTTAGCATTGATTTTTCCCATATAAATTGCATTGATCTTGTTATACACAATGTTGACTATATTGTAAATCGCAGTAGTGCTAATATAAATATTGCCAACAAGATTATAAACCATGGTGACTGTAGGATAAATAATGTTGATGGAACATAAATGTCATGATGTGATTTAAATAATGTTTGTGCTAAAATCAACATCATTGGAGACTTCAGAGTTTGACCAATTGTGGAATTATAAAAGCCTGCTTATAGAATTTAGACAATTTTTAATATTTACATAAAAATCAGCATGATCATTTTTATGGCCTTTGCAAATGTACCTTTTTTTTTAAAGGAATGATGTGACTGGGATTTAAATTTTAGTTCTTGCTCATTAGTTTTATTTTTCTTTGAAATGATTCCATTTTAACAATGTAATTGTAAAAGCTATCTGTTCTTTCTTGGTACTTTTGGTTCAACTTGTAATTAGATGTTACTTATCACACCATTGAGATTGACTTTATTTGGAATTTTTAAAAATGGATTTGCACCTGTTAAATTTGCATAATTCTTGTTGTTTTCACATTAATGATAAATAGCCACAAAAAGAGTATAGCAAAGTGAAGGAGATACATAAATCTGAAGTATGGACACCAGATAATTATACTTCAGCATAGTATTGGTACTCTGAGATATTATGTCATTTTATTAAGGGATATTTTAGGGCCTGAGAATTAATGCTCTTCACCCAATTGACATTAATTATACATGCTAATTAATGATACTAAGTTCCATAGTGTTATTTTGAAGAAATCTGAAATATATTATTTTTTTTCGACATGCTCCCTCCATGTTTCCTAAATCAATCAGTGGCCTGACAGGAATGTAGAAGTGTACCAGCAAGTTTTCTCAAAAGAGATTGAGATAGCTATTCCACTGAATATACCCAGATGAGGAGACCATAAGACGTCATCAGTGTGAAAAACTCCTAGTGTGGGAGCCCTTTCCACCAGCACTGATTACAACCCATTTATGACCTGAAAGGTACATCCTAGAGAGTTGCTTGAGTCACAGAGAGGCTAGGTGACTTGACCGGGGTCACGTACCTGTGAGTGTCAGAGATGGCCTTGGAGCCCAAGTCTTCTGAATTCCAAAACCAGGCTGTATATACCCACCTATACTGTACCCAGCTTCTCTGCCACATTGCACTCTGATTTCTTGCTTGAATTTGCTTTGTCAGAAATGGACAAAATACTGTGACTAGGTTTTTATATTCTTGGTATTAGTAAAACAAAGGGCTTACCATTTTTGCACTAAAATAAATTTGTTATGTTTTGGGAGTTAAGGGACCTAGATTGCAGAGCTGCTTCAGCCCTTCCAACATACTGGCCGGGACACCAAAGGAAGGGAATTCCTTTCTCTAGTTGTGAGGAAATCACTTTATAAACCATGAAACACATTATTATCATTCTCACCTATTCATTCTGTAAATGTATTTATTCTCTTAGTTCACAGTGCATCCGTTAGATGACATCAGGAACTCTGGCAGTGGTTTAGTTCAAGAAAATTCTTTGCAGAATTCTTGTGAAGTCCCTGTCCCTCATGTTGGTGCTGATTGCATTTTGGATACGCCGCAGACTGACCCTCCTGCTCTGCAGTCACCTACAGACCAATTTCCAGCAGAGAAAGCCCAAATAGAAAGTGAAATGGACCCTTCAGATATTTCAAATGTGAGTGCTAATAGATTGGTAAGAAGAAATTCTCAGAATTGTAAGTAAATATCGTTTTAAGAACATGTTGCTTTTTTTGAACCCATTAAACATAATATGCTGAAAAAAATATGAGCCTGTATATCTTCTAAAGTCTCAAAGTACATTTATTCAATGGGATTTTGGTTTTTTAAACATTTTTATTTTGTCATTTTACTAATATGATAAGCCACTGAAAAATAGTCAGAAGTGATATATTTTAGTTTTAAAAACAATGACTAGGCTCCTGTAGGGAGAGATGCTGAATAAATTTATGCATTTTATTTTTCTGTTTTTACTTCATGTTTTCATATCTAAAACTCATTATTTGCTAATTTTAAATAATATTAATGCTTTTATGTTTTTAAGGCACTTGTGTTCTTGTTAAGAAAAAATACTAGGCTCACATGAAAATTGATACTCTAGATTTTAAAAGAAAAAAATTCTAAATTTATTATTTAGCTATAGCATAAAATATTAATAGCAGAAATAAATCTTATTTTTAAAAAAACATTATTTGTTTTATTATCAGAATACTGTATTCATGACTTGTTAAAGGTTGAAAAGTAGGAGCAAATGAAGAGGGAGTTAGATATATGTGTAAATTGATCAGAATTACTTTTTCCTTTTTTCAATAGCTAAATGGGAAGCTAGAGTGATTATTTCATATATGGATTCAGTCTGAAAGTGAAATTTCAGAAAAAAATATAATTCTTAAGTACCATAAGATAATTTTAAGATAAAATTTTTTAAGTACTTGCTTTTATATTACATTTACTTAAACTATTCAGCTTAAAGTAGAATAGTAGAAACTTTGGTTTATTCAAGAGTTGAGTTGATATCTTCGAAGCTAAACTATGAAGACCTGCTTGTAATATCAAGATTACTATCTTCTTCTTTTTCCTAAGGGAGTTTTATCTAAACCAAGATAAAAAAAGAGTTGGTTTGTGTTATTTTGGCTGAGACACTTCTATTTGTGGCTGCAGATAAGTACTTTATTGTGAAATGGGAAGATATAATAAACTGCTACATAGATGAGGGGACTATTTTCCTTTTTTCTTTCTGAGTATTGTTAAATGATCTATTATTGTTAAAAAGTGATCTCTGGCCCTTGTCATTTATTTAACTAAAACACAAGCAAAGAAATAATTGAATGCATATTTTTCTATGTTAACGTCAACCCTTGTGAGCACTGAAAAAAATATGCTGTTAAGAAATCTGGTTGTCCTGTTTCTGTATACTATCCATTGTGAGGGCTTGTTCTATGGAAGTTTTTTTAAAAAAAAAAAGAGGTGAGGGATTATAAACACTTATTTGAAATTTACTCTTGAAGAAAAGAATAAAAACGGAATTGTCCTGTTGATAGTCTGAAGTTATGATCATATCTAGAATTAAGAATCATTTAAAGATTGCAATTACAGAATTTGGCCATGGTGATTGAGCTTAGAGCACATGTTTGAGGGAGGTAGATTCATTTGCATATACAGATAGACTTTTTATATCTTTCTTTTATCGTGATTCTTTATATGCCTTTAATCTTCTTGTTCTATTTGATTATTTGGAAGTCTTCATTTTCCTTTTTTCCTTTTTCTTAGTTTGATTATTACATAATTATGAAATGATGAATGAGAAACATTAAATTTATTTTTACTTATGGATTATCTAAAGTGCCTTATATGATCAACTCATGCCATGCTGAATTTTCGAAAGGGATACCTTCATTATAGTAATTCTAAAACCCATACCTAGGTATCTGGCTTCTGAGATATTAATTATGCCAGTCTTCAAGGGCATACATAGACTTGTGGCATGGCAAACTGAAAGACCACTGTTTACTTTATGGCATTTTAATGATTATTCTTCCCTGCAAGGAAGTATTCCTCTGATGTCTCATTACGTAGAGGTGATCTTTGCGTTTTTTTTTTTTTAATGGAGGCAGTTAAAACAAATTTATTGGCATTCAGAGCTCAGGGAAGTGGCCAACCAAGACGAGGTGATCAATCCTGGGCTGCTGATGGAAAGGCATGAAAGATAACTGGAATCAGATCTCAATCACTGCCTCCCAGCTGGTTGTAACTTCGCCAAGACAATGCCTTTCCCTTGCAACTGTAGAAACGCCCTGAATTCTCCTCTGAAAGTGTAGAAAAGAGCTTCAGCATGCTTCGCACCGATTCTTCTTTCTTCAGAGGAGGTGCACAAGTTTGACAAGCGGTCATATCTGTCTGAACCCAGCCAGGGTGGATAGCAGCACACAGGATTCCTTCTTCTTTAAGGGCCAGGCTTTGGCAGCGGGTGAGCATGTTCAGGGCAGCCTTACTGCAGCGATAGGATAAAACACGACCATATTCCCAGCCAAAAGGTTCTGTTATAAAGCCTGCGGTACTAGAAATGTTGATGATAGCAGCCCAGCTACAACTGAGACTATGCTGAGGTCCTGTTTGGGCAGCCTTCTTCAACAAAGGCAGGAATGTCTGGCCCATCTTTAGGCTACCAACAACGTGAGTCTGGTACAGCAGGTGCATGTTTTCTTCTGACTCAGAATGGATTGTATCGAGGAAGACCCTTCCAGCATTGTTGATGAGTAAATTCAGCCCCAAGCCTTCCAGTTGCTCCTTGACAGAAACTGCGGCCTCTTGGATAGAAGCAATATTCTCCACATCCAAACGGAGGATCCGAACATTGGAGTGCTGAGGCACGAGCTCTCAAAGTCCCTGGGCGTCAGAGGGATTCCTGCAGGTCGCAAACAACATCTGGGGAGGTTTGGGCAATTGTAGCAATTGCCTGACAAACTCCAGCCCCAGCCCGCAGCTGGCTCCGGTCACCAGCACGCTGGAAGGGCTTAGGACAGCCACTGAGGGATCCTGGCTTTCCATAAGACCTTTCTAAAATCTGTCTAAAGACAAAACTGCTCCCCAGTTTTTCTGTCTCCTAGTCCCACCTTTATGCCCCAGGCAATAAAGCTCTGGAAAGGAGAGCAGCTTCACCCTCTCTGTCCGATCTTTGCGTTTTCTCAGGCTGTGGAAGCACAGCAAATGCCCTGGGGTGTCCTAGTTATCTGGAGAAGCTTACAGTCAGGGCCCCCCAGAGCCAGTGGTATGAAATCAGCCATGGCCCCCGGTGGGAAGACTCTTCTGTGCAAAGTGACTCATGAAAGTAATCTACGGAGATTTTTATCTTTGTTAGTGGAGAGAGGGATTCCACATGCATGAAAATCACAAGGTTGGTGAAGTATTGAAATGATAATATTGTTATGGATAAAACTCCATTTGTATATTTTAGCATTTAAAATTGTATTTATGTTATGAACTTATAATTTAATGAATTATAATTATGATCATAATGTTATAACAAGAATTGCATTTAAATTTATCACTTTCTGTTTTGAAATTTGACATCTTAGCTAACTGAATCCCACAGCTTAAATTTCTGTAATCTTGAAAACGAATAGGATCCATGTCCAGTACATTAAAAACTAAATGCTAGGTTAATCTCCCACTGATCAATGATTTCTGGTTTATTTTATAGTCGATGGCAGAAGTTCTTGCTAAAAAGGAGGAATTAGCAGATCGCTTAGAAAAAGCCAATGAAGAGGCCATTGCTAGTGCAATTGCAGAGGAGGAGCAGCTAACCCGAGAAATTGAGGCAGAAGAAAACAATGACATTAACCTGGAAGCGGACAATGACAGTGATTTTTCTGTGAGCATTCAGAGTGTTTTTGGTATGCATAGGGTCATAATTGCTTCAAGATTTTATCTATTAATGAGTACTTATTAAAATGTAAGCAAGGAATTAAATTTAAATATCTATTGAATCAATTACAGACCTTTTAAAACAAACTCTTTCCTAAAGAAGAGGAAAGAAGATTTTGGTATTTTGGAAAAGAGATTTGGTATTTGCACTATAGTTGCCAGTTAGAAATGAATTATGAATAAATAAATTTTATGTGCAAGACATGTCATATGTAATTTGTTTATCTAAATTCCTAGTTAATGGAAATAGAAAACATTTCTTCTTGAAGAAAGTACTTGCACCTTGGAGGTAGATTTCTTGGATTCTGGCAAGAGATAAATGATCCCTTATTTGGTTGCATTGATTATTTGCTCCATAGATGCCACCTGTCCTTGCCCACTCCTCCTATGTAAGATTTTCAGGTGTTCTCCTATAAATCTTCTACAGGGAATCCATTCAGTGTACTGGGGCCTTCCTCTGCATCAAAGTTCTTAACCTTTTGTGAGTCATGGACTCCTTGGTCAGTTTGGTGAAGCCTATGGACTCCTCAAAATGATGTTTTTAAGTGCATAAAATATCACACATAGTATTACAGAGGAATCCAGTTATATTGAAATATAGTTATCAAATATATAAAAAAATTCACAGACTCCAGGTTAAAAACTCTGCAGTCTAGGTCTCTAGGTCTATTGAAATTACATGCATACAAATGAAATGTACATGGAATATAGACATTTCCACCTTTTTCAGTCATGTATCTCTGTGATTACAAGCTACCTGCTACTTTTTTTGTGTAATTCTTTATTAGTAATATATTTTCAGTCTTCACACACCTACCATAGACCTCTCTTTTACCCTTTGGCTGACCCACCATTTTAATTCTTTCAAGACTTTTGGTACCGTGACTAGCAGTCATTCCTCATCATCACTGAGAGAATATTGTTGTTAAAAGCACGGGCCTTTGTTTCAGGGAGAATCTTGAGTTAATTAAAATTACTGTGCAGGTTACACATCACAGTACCTGTTGGTGGATGAGTTCTGTGGGCCGTCTGTCCAGCTGCATAGCCGAATGTGGACAGCTGGCATTTTTGATTCACTTGGTTTTTCCTGGGTGAATAGTTGGACTGAAACTCTTCTCAGTGATTTTGGAACCCAGCAAGCTTTGAACCTTGGGTTTGAAGAAGTGCATCGGTCTTTATCAAAGAGTATTTATTAAGCCTCTATTCAATTCCCTGTCCTGGGTGGGGAACAGTGGCTGCCCCCCAGGATCTCACACCCGACTGAGGGAGAAGGTGGAGACAGGATGCCGTTTGTTCATCTTTTTATCTGTTTGCTCTTCCAACTTCATCCTTACATGTTAATAGCATGGTTTTACATAGTTGGGCCTTTTGCCCAGCCTCCTTTCAGCCTGTTTGTTCCTTTATTGCATCGAGCTGTTTTTATCCAGGAATGCTGCTCCCAACCTTCCTTTCTCCTCCTTAACTTTTGTGAAGTTTAGGTTCTAAACTGGTGCTAGAGTTGGCTGACACCTCAGTCAGTCAGTCAGTCAACTAATATTATTAAGCACTTCTTTGTGCCAGGCACTGTGCTATGCATGGGGATATGAATACAAAGGATAAGACAATCCCCACCACAACAGACCTTAAATTCAAATGAGGGATATAGTGAGGACATAGAAAAACATACTGCACAAGTATAAAGAGAAGAAATAGAAGTGTTTGCAAAGTGGTTAAATACAAGGTGGTTTGGGAGGAGGGCGCCACCAGCTGGGAGGATCAGGAAGTAGAAGATGGGGCCTGGGCTACATCTTAAAGGAAGAGAGGGACTCAGGGTGGAGCAGAGGAGGGATGGCATTCCAGGCACGGGAGAGGCGAGTGCAAAGTCTTGGAGATGGAGATAGAGTCTTTTTGGGTGAGGAGCAGAGAGAACGACAGTTGGTTTGGATTACAGAATGTGGTGGGGGGCAATCATGTCCAATGGGATTGGAAGGACAGATTGGGGCCAGATTGTGCAGAGCCCTTTGTGTTTTATCCTAGAAACTCTAAGGAGTCCATGGAATTGAGTTGATTGAGTAGGGGAGTTAACGGTCACATGTGAGCTCAAGGAAAGTTACTTTGGCAGCAGTGTTCAGGATGGATGGGGGGCAGGGACGACCGGTCAGTTGGCTGTGGCAGTTACCAACGTGGAAAGTGTGGCGAGCCTGCACCAAGCTGGGAGATAGTGATGAGTAGAGAAGAAGGATTGGAAATGGCAAGTTGGCAGCTGATTTGATAAGTGGAGTGAAGGAGGATAAGGTATCTAGGCTAAGCCTTTGCAGAGGTTTGTTTTTTCTTCTCTGGAAGTTCCCTGTATGTCTTTGTCACGCTGTCTTCTGTATTCAGAACTTCTGGGCAGTTTTCTTCCTGTTTCTTGAATTGTAGTGTTCAGATCTTTTGACTTGTGTTCTTCTGGGAGACCTATAATCCTTAAATTGTCTCTGCACTTCCTGTCTCTAAGATGAATATGTTTGGTTTTGTAGAGATCATGTTTTTTCTTTCCATTATTGCTTTTTGTTTCTCTTCTTTCAGTTCTGTGTATTTGCAGGTACGATGTCAGTGATACTTGAAAAATTGTGGAGAATAGGAGATGCATTTCAGGGTTAGAAAATGGCAAATGTTCACGTGTTCAAAAATGGGAAAAGGATGGATTCCATGAAATCGTGGGCCAAAGAATTTGACTTTGATTTCTGGCAAAAGCTTGGACCATGTTATTATAAAGATGGTTAGGAAATATTAAGAAAAGGAAACCCTTAAGAATAGGTCACACCAAAGTCATCTCATTTCCTTTTTTGACTGGGTTACTAAGCTGGTGGGTCAGGAGAATGCTGTGGATATAGTTTCATTTGATAAATACCTCTTGGTAAACTTTTGGAAAAGAAGGCGAGATGTGGGCCATATAATAGTACATTTAGATGCATTTAGAATTGATTTAATGACTGGAATAAAAAAGTAGTGATTGATGGTTCTATATCGTCTTGGAAGGAGATATTCAGCGTAGTGCCCCAGGGATCTGTGCTTAGCTCTGTGTTGTTTAATATATGCATATTTTTTATATTGCCAGTTGGTGCCTTTTGTTTGGGTATCACATTCTTTTCCAAATATGTTCCTCTTTTCTCCTCCCAAATTATCCTTCACTTGTAACAGTGATAAAAAAAAAAGAAAAAAATAATAATCCAGCAAAACTCCTACATTTATTGCCAATTGTTGAGCTTCTCCCCATTCTTCAGGATCCAGCTCATCATATACCATCTCCTTGGACTTTTCATTCCTCAGAACTATCATAGCCCTTTTGTTTGTACCCCTCTTGTGGCCTTATCAAGTTCTTCCATGTATTAGAATAATGTATGTACATGTGTCTTGTATCCTGCAAGATTGTAAGCTCCTCAAGGGCAGGGGTCATATCTCACTCACCTTTGAATGTCCTGCAGTGCTTAACAGTACCTTTCTTGAAGGCTCTCAAATGTTTGTGAAATGATTGGGGGGAAATGACCTCATCTGACCTTGTATGCAACGTTCCATACCCATAGTTCTGTCTTCTACAGAGAAGGGCTGAAGGAACCTTTTCTTATTCGGGCCCCTCCCAGTTATTATAATTAGGTGTCTGACATTCTTATTTTCCCTTGTTTGATCCTTTTAGAATAGTGATGAATGAGTAGTGGTCTGTGCTGGGGGAGAAAGTCCATGGGATCACAGCTCCACTAATGTAGAATTAGCCTATAGAAACTCTTGTCTCCTGTGCTAAAGCTGCTGCTTTCTTTACCCTGTATCTGTTTACAGTTTGCATGTAGCATGGGAAGAGTCTGGGACTAGCGGACAAAGCCCTGCCTTGGTCAGAGGTCTTGCCTCTAGTTCTCGCTAGATGCCTGTCATCAGAAAAGTCTTCACTTTGGGTGGCTTCGTTCTCTCCTCTATAAGATGGAAATAATCCTTGCCCTGTCTGACTTACACCGTTGTTGAGAGGGCCAGACTTCATCAGCCTTAAAGGGCCATGGAAACATGAGCTCTGGTTAGATGAATGTGACCTATTACTGGTATTTCTTTATTTAGTCTCTTTCTAGTAGTTTATTCTTTCATTTCAGAAGCAGTGGGATTTAAGTCAGATACTCATTCTAATCACTTGAAATTTAATATGGACTGTTAAAACTGTGTTTCAGTTTATGGCCTTATTTTACTATATTTTACACTGTTCAAATTTTATTAAAGCAACATTCTAAAATTTTAACTAATTAAATGAGATAATTTTTCTTTTTCTTTTTCCAGTTTTGGTTAAGTCAGATATATTTGAAATTCTGTTATGTTACGCAGATGCACACACACACACATACACACATAGAGTTTTTACTAGCATAGAATTTTATTTGAAGATTTGTATTTAAATTTTCCTTATTATATTTCAGGCTAGTGTAAGCAGTGGAAGTATATCTTTCTGTGGCATGTCTATGGACTGGAATGATGTCCTTGCTGATTATGAAGGTATATATAGCAGGCAAATGTGCATGTGATGTGCTTATAAGTAGAGATAAACTTATTAGAGTTTGTTTTCTCTTTTTTGAAAAATGTTTTATTGGTTCCTTTTGTTTTTATACGAGAGTCATTTCCCATTCCCTCCAGATTGAACCCTTACTTCTGAGAAAGAAAAATAATGAGCATGTTTATTCGAGTGATCACGTCTGGCTATGTATAGGTTTGAGGGTTTTGAGAAGAGCTGCCTGGCATTGTGATATTTGTAGTTTGGAAGGACAAGCATTCCCTCTGCCTTGAGAGACATTGGGACTGTGGTGATCTTCGGGCTAGAGGGCAGAATTGAATCTTGCCTAGGAGTTTGATAGGCAGGTGCCCAGTCTTTAGGAAACAGAATGAGAGTTAGGGGTGAGGACTGTCACATCTGAGCAGCAGCAGTAGGCAGTGTGTCTCCCCACCTCCCCTGAGCTGCAAGACATCACAACTTGGCTAGAAAGGACTGGTAAGCAGGATGTCATAACTGAAAAGGTAACAAGAGGAGAAATGTAAAAAGGGACCTGAAAGGAAAACTGTCAAAAACTGTGAAAAACCAAAGGCAGGGTCAAGGTGAGCCTCTTTGAACAGACCGCTTGGACTGGAGCTGTTTTACTTACCTCCTCGAGGACTAAGGCACGTTCTCCCAACAGGCCTCTTCTCTTTCCCCAGTAACAGACACTGTCCTGTTGACTTTGCTCTCTTTGTCTTACCTAAATGTTTCCTGTATCTTGATTTTACCTCAGACTAGGTTGGTATTAGCTAGAGAAACACAAGTCTTTAGATTACTCCAAAGAGCCCATGCTTCTCTCTGAATCTTGGGAGATTTCTAAGTGAGCTCTGTACTACTGTGATTTTATTAACATCTTTTTGTCTGATGCGACTGTGAAACAGCAGAGGAAGGGGCAGTACTGACATGAGGGCCATTATGTTACCCTAGACTACAAGTGAGACAGTGCCATAGGAGGGAGCGCTAATGACATCTCCAGCCCGGCCAGGCCCTCCTTGTGTCCTGCTCAGACTGTGGCTGTAGTCCCTGGTTCATCTTCCTTCCTCAGGTCTCTCCCCATTCTCAGCCATCAAATTGATCTTCCTAAAATATAGACTGATCTAGTCCCTTCCAGTGGTTCACTGCTGCCTACAGGAGCAAATATAAAGTCCCCTCTGGTTTTTAAACCCCCCAGCCCCCAACCTGTCTACTTGCTGTTTCTCCAGTATTCTCACTTCTTACAATAGCGCCCCCTCCTTCCTGCCCAGCATCCTGTGAGACTGGCCGCCTAGTGCTCACATTCCCCTCATCTCCTCACTTCCTTCAAGGCTTGGCTAAAATCTCTCCTTTTGTAAGACTCTTTTCTCCCTTAATGCTAGTACCAGTAGGTCAGTAAACATTCATTAACCACCTACTACTGCCAGGTGCTGTACTAAGTGAGGCTCTAATTACAAAAAGAAAATCAGTCCCTGCCCTTAAGGAGCTTACAGTCTAAGGGAGGAAGACCACACCCAAAAGGAACCTGCAGGGCTGGGGAGTGCAGGGAGGGAAGGTACCCAACCAGGGTCCAGGTGGAGAGTGAGAAAAGTCCCAGAGTAGTGGTCTTGCAGCCAGGTGAGAAACATGGGAATGTCTGAGCTGAGCTCACCCTCCAGACAGAGACGCCTTTGAGGGGAGTGAGGAGGTGGAGCAGCAGGGCCAGAGTAGTGCAGCCCGAAGAGTGGCCTCCCTGTGTCTGTCACCTCCCGACTGTACATCGTCTGCCTGTTGTCTGCATGCTGCTGCCCATTGGTGTTTGAGCTCTTGAGAGCAGGCCCTGTCCTTAGCCTCTTAGCTGAGGGAGTAGAGTGGAAACCAGGGAAGCCTAGGTGGGATAGACAAAGGGCCACTGAGATTTATTCCACCGTTCCAGATAGAGAAGGGAACAGAACAGGTTGAATACCTTCTACAGTGCCACTAGGCCATAGTGTACAGAGCACCGGGCCTGGATGCAGGAAGATTTCTCTTCCTGAGTTCAGAGCTGGCCTCAGACACTAGCTGTGTGACCCTGGGCAAGTCACTTAACTCGCTGCTTGCCTCAATTTCCTCATCTGTAAAATGAGCTAGAGAAGGAAATGGCAAACCACTCAGTGTCTTTGTGGAGAAGACACCAGATGGGGTCACGAAGAGTTAGACATGAATGAACAAGAACTGAACAGTAACAGTGCCAGCCAGCAGTGTGTGTGTGTGTGTGTTTTGCAGGCATCACGTATATCGTTTTCTTGGTTCTGATAATTTTGTTTTGATGTTCTAGATGTTCAGACATCTAGATCTGTAATGGCCCTTAGAGGGAGGCCGTCTATGCCAACAGCCTCCTTTTACAGATGGAGAAAGTTCCATATAGATCTTTGATCTTCCGTGCTCATGCAAATTCCTGATGTTCCTTATTTATTACTCTTGCCTCAGCTCCTGCTTTTTTAGAGTTAGCAGGATATTATAACATGACATGATAGGATGTTCCTATTCCAAGTGATTTATTGTGAAAAGAAACTCATTGAGGCAAGATGGTGGAGCGATTTTTCTGGGCGCGTGTCCCCTAATAATAGCAGATAATAGCAGTGAAAAGCTCCCAGATTCAGAAAACACACAGTATCAAGAAGAACATAACTGAAAGAACTTGTCCCAAGGCAGTTTTTGCAGAAAGATTGATGGGCCAGCTCACCAGTCTGTTTTTCTTTCCTTCCACCCCAAGTGACCTGGCTCCTCCTGGCCACCTCTTCTTCACCGTCTCTCATGGGTAGGGCGGTTCTGAACTTGCAGGGCTGGTGTAATTGCTGGTACCCGTTTTGAAATCAACCCTTTTATCGTGGTGTTGGGGGGGGGGTCGCCTTCCTGCTCCCAGGCTGTCCGGTGGCCTGATCGCTCTGTGAGGCTTATTCCTTCTCACTTAGCTCTCCTTGTCCCACATTTTTTTTCTCCTATAATAATTACTTTGTGGCGAGTTTTGTTGTGTTTTGTTTTTGGTTACTCCTTGCCGACATTGTTGTTTTTGTTTTCTTGGGCCTCTCGCTTGTATTGTTTAGTGTGGTGAGGGGCAGACTTCCACTAGGATACCTATCACGTCGCCATCCCTTCTTCCTAGAATTCCTTTAGAGTTTCTTTTTACAGTAAATCATTGAGAAGGAAGAGATGTCTTTTCAAGTAGTCAGTTTCAAAGTCTTGATTTTCAAAAATAGTATATTCAGACAAGGTTGTTCTCTAATAACAAAAATAACTGATTTTTAACTTGGGACAGCTCGCGAGTCGTGGCGTCAGAATACATCCTGGGGTGATATAGTTGAGGAGGAACCTGCCAGACCGCCAGGACATGGGATTCACATGCATGAAAAGCTTTCCTCGCCCTCACGCAAAAGGTTTGAGCTTTTAAACCTGATTTAATATCCTTTCTATCAAAAGAAACTGGCCAGCCCAAACCATTAAAAACAGTCGTCACTTAATCTCCTAAGGCCCTTTGCCCTTGAAAACACGCTGACACATTCAGAACTGCATGCCTAAAACAAATAAGATGCAGGCAAGAACAGGGTTTATTTTCCAATAAGTTTAATAGCTGATTTGAGCATAGACTTTTTTCATTGAATCTTCTGAAGTGTTTGTCCCTTGTTTCTTCTTAATGTGTCAACAGGACAATTGCAGAATCTAAGAAGAAACACGAAGAAAAGCAAATGAAAGCCCAGCAGCTAAGAGAGAAACTGCGTGAAGAGAAAACATTGAAGCTTCAGAAACTGTTAGAACGGGTAAGCTTTCTTGTCAGGATGGAAGAGAGTTCCTTTCTTGGAGATTGTGGCAACTGGGCCTCGAGCTGGGGTTTGTTCTGTAGTCGCCTTGTCACACCCTTTGTCACATCAGCTTCTCTTCTGGTCTGCTGCAGGAGCAGTTCGGTAGACTTTCTTGCCTGCGCTACCTTTGCCTTTACTAGCTCTAAGCTATCCTCCTGCAGCCACCATGCTGACTGACCATATTATACCCCTGCTCCGTGACCTCCAGATCACACATAAACTCTCTCAGTGTTTAGAGCTCTATATAACCTGTCCCCCTCCTCCTTTCTCGTCATGTGTCATCACACACCCCTGCAGGGCCCTCTATAGTCCAGCTGCTCTGGCCTGTGGCAGCTCCTTGAACAGAAGATTTCATTTCCCGACTCCCTGCCTTTACCTGCTTTTTCCTCCTGTCCTCTTACCGCCACACTCTTCCTTTCCCTGGCTCCTTCAAGACTTCTTCAATGAGCCTTTCCTAGTCCTTCTCCTTTCAGATGACCTTCATCTATTCTGTATGACATTTTTAAATTTATTTTCAAGTTACATTATTTACAAGTAGTTTCCACCACATTAGAATGTGTATTCCTTGAGGGTATGGACTGTGGTTTCTTGCTTTTCTTTCTTTCCTTAGCCCTTATCACAGTACCTGGCATTTAGGTGCTTAATAAACACTTATTGACTAAATGAATATGTTCACAAAAACTAACGTGAATTTTCTAGAAAGTGAAAGTAGTTTTTATTTACTTGGATATATTTAATATAATTGATATTTATCTAGTGCTTTTTTCTCTTTTGCAAAGATTTTTATATACCATATCTTAATTGATCCTCAAAACAGTGCCAGGAGGTGGGTCCTGTAGGTATTATTATTCCCATTTTAAAGATGAGGAAACTGAAACTCAGAGAGATTAAGGGGCTTACTCATGGTTGCTGAGCTGTTAAACATTAGAATTAGAATTTGTACCCAGGATTGATTGATTCTGACTCTGTTATTATACTGGTCATTCTGCCTCTTCGTCGAGGTAGGTAGGTTATGAGTTAGGAAGGTACGTTCACACACTGTGTCCAGAGGTGGGTGCGCAGCATGGTGAAGGGGTTAAGACTATATGATAATGGAGGGTTGATGGCTAGGTATCTAGGAGTCTTTAGCATGTAAGAGGAAAGCAGAGCTAGGATCACAGAGTAGGGAGGAAGTAGTGTGGCCTGTCCAGAGAGATCTAGAAAATGCACCAACCCAGGTCTGTGGGGGGAATCCAAGGGAAAAGCCAGAATGAGTCCTATTTCCAGCCCAGGCCAGCATAGGGAGACAGACAGAGAGGTCTGTGGGCACTGGGGGCATGGTCTGGCCCCAGGTCTGCTGCCTGGAGCATTCCATTGCACAGGAAATAGAAGAGGACCGAGATCTGAGGGGCATCCAGGGGTACATCAGCCTTATGCAGAAGACAAGGACAGGCCAGCTGGCAGTTCACTCATCCGCTGCCCAGTTCCTGGTCAGTGTCCAGGGCAGATCGAAGAAGCGACGTGTGACAAGGGGTAGTGTCTGAGGCTGAAGAATCGTGAGCTCTAGGCTGTGTAACAAAGGAGGAACAAGAGCAGAAGCAAGTAGTACCTGTGTGGTGTTGACCCCAGCATCTTTGTAGGTGTCAGTTCTAATCTCCCATACATTCTGAAGCCTGCAGCAATATAACTAAGGTACAGATTGCAGAACAAAAGGTAGCTTGAAGTTTTGTCACTCGGAAGCAGCAGGTTGATTTCCAGCTGCCTGATGGTAACTGAGTCCAACAGCAGTCTACTGGGACTGCAGTTATTGTCAGGCCAACAGCAGTGTTGCAGACATCCAAACCCAGGTTAGGAACTTGCTCAGACTGAGAGGACAGTGATGAGACTCTTACCTGTGTCACGTCACCGTGGGAGCACCGAAAGCTTGTTGTTGCCTGGCCTGAGCTGCCCCTGAGAACATGGAATAACACAGTACTCCTTACCCAGAAAAAGCAGCCTGAGGACCAAAGAGGACAAAAGCCCAGCTCAGACATTCCCCTGCCCTTCACATAAAGTGCAAAGTCATGAGGCAGGCTAGAAGAATGAGCAAACAAGCACAAAGAGCCATTGTGGTGACATGGATGCTTAAGGCACAAAGAGAGATGAAGAGAAAGACTCCGAAATATTTATATGCAGAGTGTTAAAGTAAAACGCAATTTGATTCCTAGGGGAGATGAAGTAAGAGTGTAAAAAAAACCTAAAAATGATTTTCAAAATGAAATAAGATTACTAGAGGAAAAAATACACAGGACCAAATAGGATTTAGCAGCCACTCTTAGAGTAGAGAGCTAGGAATATGAAATTCAAGAAGGCAAGACATAGGGAATTAAAACCAAGAATAACTTATCTAGCAAAACTGAGCATAATCCTACAGGAGGAAAAAAAAATGGGTCTTTAAGGAAATTTAGAATGAGTGTGCGTTTTAGGGTTAGGCTTAGAGTCAGTCCCTGATGAGGGTCAGAGCCCAGTAGAAACTTTGAAATACAAACCTAGGAGTCCAAAGAAGCATAAAAAGGAAAACACGAGGGAGCAATCATAAGAGACTGTGTATCCCATCAGAACTCTATCATCATCAGGGATCATAGAGGGAGTCTAATTAGACAGAGGGCCTGGCAGTGGTTCAGTTATAGTCTGATGATGATAAAAGAAGAATAGAACACCGTGTTAGGGTCAGGGCATCAGGGAGCTTAAGAACTGGAAAATTATCCCACATCCTTGGGGCATGCAAATCGAGTTCTATACATGCTAGCAAGAAGGGATGGGGAGGAGTGGGTGACACCAGAACCTCATTGTCATCAGAACTGGTCAGAGGAGTGATATCCAGGGTGATGGGGTACCTCAGTATGTTTCAGTCAGCAGGGGAAGAGAAGGGCAAGGGGATTAGACTTAACAAAACAACTCTTGAAGAGGAAGAGAGACCAAGAGAAGGAAAAGATAAGAGAATAGGATGGTGTGAAATACACAATTATAATCACAACTGGGCATGTGAATGGGATCAACTCAGACATAAAAGAGAAGAGAAAAGCAGAATGGATTAGAAAACACTTGAAGCAGAAAGTGGCACATAGAATTCAAATAAAGGGCTGTAGCAAAATCTGTGCTTCGGCTGAAGTAAAAAAGTCAGAGGTGACACTCATAATCCCAGAAAAAGGAACAGCAGAAATAGACTTTGATTACAAGATATAAACTGGAAAACATCATTTTGCTGCAAGGCACCATAGACAGTGAATTAATATCAATACTAAACATATATGTTATGGGTGGATAGCATCTGAATGCTTAAAGGAAAATTTAAATGTGTTGCAGAGAGAAATTGTAAAACTATAATAGTGGACAACCTCAATTTGCGTCTCTCAGAGGTAGATAAATCTAACTAAAAACCCTTTGTTAAACACCTGAATAGAATTTTAGAAAAAGTAGATGTAAAAAACGCTGGAGATTATTCAGTAGTGATAGAAAGGAATACATCTATTTCAGTTGTGGCACCTTTGAAAAAAAATGACCGTATTTTAGGACATAAAAATGCAGAGAGCAGAAATACTAAATGCATCTTTTACTGACCATAATTCAATAAAAATTATTCAATAAATGGCCTTTGAAGCAAAATTTTGAAATTAGAAATGAAATAATAATTCTAGAGAATGAGTGAGTCAAAGAACAAATCATAGAAACAATAACTTTATCAAAGATAATGACAACAGTGAGACAACATATGAAGATTCAGGGATATAGACAAAACAGAAATTTCTTCCAAAACAGAAATCTTAAGAATTAAATATGATACTAAAATAAAAAAATTGAAAACAAAGAACTAAATTAATAAATAAAAAAACTAGGAGCTGTGTTTTGCTTGTTTGTAAAAATAAGCTGTTAGCTAAGTGGATTAAAAAAAAGAAAGAAGGGTACTACTAGCTAGGTGGCGCAGTGGATAGAGCTCTAACCTTAGAGTCAGGAGGACTGGAGGTCAGTCAGACACTTGACACTTAACTAGCTGTGTGACCCTGAATAAGTCACTTAACCCCGATTGCCTCACTAAAAAGCAAAAAAAAGAAAGAAGAAAACTAATTAATCAATATCAAAAATGAAAAGAATGAATTGACAACTGTTGAAGATGCAATTGGGAGTGATTTTGTCCAATTATATGTCAATAAAACTGATCATCTAAATGAAATGGATGAATACTTTAAAAAATATAAAATGCCCTGATTAATGGAACAAGAAGTCAAACAGTTAACCTAGTCCTAAAAAAAGAAATTGGGGCAGCTAGGTGGCACAGTGATAGAACTCTAGTCTTGGAGTCAGGAGGACCTGAGTTCAAATCTGGTCTCAGACACTTGACACCTAACTAGCTGTGTGACCCTGGGCATGTCACGTGACCCTGATTGCCTCACTAAAAAACAATTAAAAAAAACAACCAGAAAAAAAATAAGCCACAATTGTACTCTCCTCTGCCAAAAAACAAACAAAAGGTCCAAATGGATTTGCATATGAATTCTATAAATCAAACGTTTAAAGAGAAATTAACTCCAAACTACTCAGGCAGTTTCAAAAAAAAAAAAGGCAGAAGAAATCCTATCAGATTTCTTCTATGATTCAAATATGGTCTTGCTACTTAAGCTAGGGAGAGTCAAAACAGAGAAAAAAAAAATTATAGACCAACATTCATAATAAATATTTTACGTAAGCAAGGAGACTATAGTGATATGTCACAAAGATTATACATTGTTACCAGGTTGAATTTATACCAGGAATGCAAGGCTGGTCCACTATTAGGAAAACCAGCCGTTGGAGCAAGAATTCTGTTGAACAAAAACTATCAGGAAACTCTAAAGTAGTCTGGCAGAAACTAGGTATAGATCAACATCTTTCACTGTCTACCAAGATGAACTCCAAGTGGATACATTTCTTAACCATAAAGGATGACATTGTAAACACATTAGAGGAGGAAGGAAGAAATGACCCATTAGGTTTATTGATAGTGCAACAATTTATGACCGAACAAGAGAGAAGGGAGATTGCAGGAGATAAAATGAGTGATTTTCATTACATATGACCAAAAGTTTTTGCCTAAACAAAATCTGTGCAGCTTAAAATAGAGGAGGCAAAGGGGAAGCAAAACAGTTTGCAGCAAGTTTTTCTGACTGTCTTATTTCTGATGTACATAGAGGGAATGGATTTAGATTGATAAGAATGATAACCACACCCCAATGGATTGATGGTCCAGTGTCAATTGTGAGAGGCTGCTTTTCTTGGGGGATGGGGGAAGTGGGGGAAGGTGAGGCAATTGGATTAAGTTACACAGCTAGTAAGTGTCAAGTGTCTGAGGCTGACTCCAGGGCCGCTGCTCTGTCCATTGTATCTCCTAGCTGCCCTGAAGCTGCTTTTCCTTAGAAGTTCACTCTCTAACCTTTTTGTATTGGTAAAAGATATATTTTTAGTATGTTTAAATATGCTGTATATTATTAAAGATAAGCCTACATGGACTACCCCCTTACATTTGGTATATTTTTGTGTATTAAAAATGAAATCTTTTTACAGATAGGAGAGAAACAGAGACAGAGAAGGGACAAAGACAGAGACAGAGAGAGAGAGTGTGTGTTTGCCAGTCCGTTGACACTCATTTTAAAGTTGTCTTTTCTCTCAGTGTTCCTAGGTCTTGTGGAAGATAATTTGATCCATGCCATATCAGCATGTAATACTGAACTGGTCCTAGTGGGGTGCTAAGGTGTAAAACTGGTTTCAAAATACGATACTAAACACAAAAAGGAAAATAATGTGAAGACCTTTGATTGTCGGCAGTTTAGCCTTTATCATCAATTTTTGTTTTAATAATTTATCACAAAGAGATGAGATTCGAATGGCTTATAATAAGAAGCCGTACGTTTTTACTTTATCGCATTTTGGCCAAGTGCCACGCTGATGTTGACATTTCTTTTTTTCTTACGTGTTGAAACTGAAATACAAATTGTTCATGATTTTTCATTCTGTTTCAGAATGTCCTTGCAAACCAAGCCATGGAGTTGTAGAGCAGTGAAGATGGAAGGGATGGTAGGGGCTTACATGGCCCAACCTCTTGTGTCATACATTGTCCCCTAATGCCACCATCTTATTTGCATAGGGCTTTATGGTTTTCAGAGTATTGTATTCCTCATGAGTCTGTGAATGGTAGTTAAGAAGACAGGTATTATTCCTATTTTACGGTTGAGAAAATGGAGGTTTGGAGAAATAAAGGCATTTTAAGGTTTTGTGGCTTTATAACTGCTAGAGCTCGGAGCACAGTGGAGCGGAAAGAGGGTAGAATGGAGAGTCAGAATAGGAGTTGTCTTCAGACTCTGTATTCCGCGCTATCTCTGTCCCATTCTTCCTGCATCTTTTACAGAGAGATACGTGACAGGCAAAGGCCATTTGATGTAGTGGTAGGTCTACAGATATGGTGACTTAAGTCAAAAGACCTGGGTTCAAATGTAGGTTCTTCGACTTAAAAGCTGGGTGATCCTGAGCAAATTACTATACCTGTCTGAGCCTCGTTTTCCTTATCTGTATGTTATGGGGATGGAACTAGTTGAAGAACTCTGTGGGGCCATGTTGATCTCCTTCATCTTTTGTTATATTTCTGATTCCCAGTCACTGATACACGGAGTGCATGTTCCTTTTTCTCTCTAGTATATCCCTTTAAACACACAAAGGTAACTATTGTGTCTTCCTGCACTCTTCTCTGAGCTAGTCTAAATACCCCCAGTGTCTTGAATCATTGTCTTTACAGTACGACTTCCAGAGATTTCATCATTTTCAAGATATCAAAGTGATGAAGTTTCTTGCTTGGGAAACATGAAATGAGGATGTGGGAGATGTGTGGCGGTTTTGGGAGGGATGAGAAGAGAAACGTCAGACCACTGATACTCTCCTGTGGCTTCTGTTCTTTCCTTCATTATGAAACAGGAATCAATAGAAGAAAGATGCTCTACATGTTTATGCAAAGCACAGTTTTCATTAACTTGTGTGAAATAAGGAAGGCTAAGGGCCACATTTAAATGAGTAATGTTAACTCTTTGTGCACAGGAGAAAGATGTCCGAAAGTGGAAGGAAGAGTTACTAGATCAGCGACGGAGAATGATGGAGGAGAAATTACTCCATGCTGAATTTAAGCGGGAAGTGCAGTTACAAGCCATCGTGAAAAAGGCCCAAGAAGGAAGAAGCCAAGGTACCTTTCAGGGCAGTGAACTTGGTTATTTTCTTTTTTTCTTTTCTTTTAAAGATACTATTGTCCTTTTTATTAAAATTGGTCATTTAAAAAAGGTCATAAATAGGATCATCGTACTCTAAATGTGTGTACAGTTATGCAGATTGTATTCTTTTTAGTCATTCTCTTTGTCTCAGGATATCAGAGGCATTGTGAATACCCCTGCACTGACACCTTAAATGACTATGATCTTTGGGAGTCACTGGGGCCAACCGTTTGGTAAGAAATCTCTGTCTTGAGCTCGTCTGGTCTTCATATCACAGACACAAGCCCCTAGCCTGGGCCTTTGGAATTCCAGGGTCATTTCTGTGGTGCTCTAAAGAGTCAGAGTAGGACTTTAGTAGAAGCTTAATTTTTTTTTCTCCCTCCCCTTCCATTTGCTCAGATAGCACAGGGAAAGCTGGAAGTGCCTTGTCAGAATATTCATTTGTTAAATGGCAGGAATATGTGAATATTGGAATTCTCTTTCACTTAATGGCTTTTTTTACTTGGTTTAAATGGATTCAAATTTGTTTAATTTTCTAACACATTTACCATCATTATTATTTTTTATGCTGATGTGGCTTCTCTAATAATATTAAGAAAATCATGGTTTACATAATTCCCATCTAGACAGATGTTAAAACTCCTGAAGTAAATTTACATAGCCCATATGAGTGAGATTGGCTGACCTTTTTGGCTCCTTTATTCTTGATAATCCAATTTAATTGAGCTAGAAGCTTTAATAAAGTACTTCTGCTGGAAAATGTAGTCAGTAGATCCTGCTGACAATTACTGCCTAGTTGGTTCTGTAACTTCCAGTTGTATGTCAGTCACTGATTTCAGAAATTCATCCTCCGAATGTGTTTCTGTCAATAGGCTACACGTACAAACACACACAAAATCCACCATTTTTCTTCTTCTCTCATTAGTTCCATAGATTTAGGACCGATTTCTTTCTAATAGAATTACACACCTATTGTACCTAGCTTATATAAAATGATGTTACCACTTTCTCACTCAGAATCGCCTAACATTTTAGCTACTTAAAGAATGTAGCTCTTCTTGCTTTTGGACTGGCTTAATTTTGTATTGGGCATTTTCTTCTTGCTTAAAAATCATTAAGACTATTTTATTTTAGAATAATGTTTCATAATTTTGAGGAGGGTCTACTTCCCAGTTGTCTCATAAGCCTTATGATACAGGTAATGTATTTATATTAGTTTTTAATTAGTTAGAAGGTATGATCCATTTGGTTTTTCATAGATATCAAGCTTGGTCTTTTTTTTCCCTTTGGGTATGGCCAAATATGTTAAGTAAATTGGTATTTTGTACTAATAATTTTTTCAAATTTTCATATTTTATTCCTCACATAAGTTGTTGAAGTAAACTGTTGGTGATTTCTGACCCCTTAGTATATTTTTGGATGGTGAGAATGCCAAGAATTCCTAGAATTCATGTAAAATACTTTTCTCACTAATAGCTCCATAAATGTGGTATAGTCAAATATTATTGCCATTTTACAGCTGGAGATATTGAGGCCAAGATAGGAGTGATGTCAGTGGCTCATAAGTGGTGGAGTCTGGCCTGGTCCCATCCATGTCCATTGCTCTTTCTACTAGTTACTACATAACTTGGTCTTTAATTTCATAGTTGACAGTGACCATCCTTGGAAACAAAATTGTTCCAAGCCTAATTATATCTTGGATTCATTCTCTTTTGCCACAAAAGGTGACTTTAGTTTTCCTTTTTTTTTCCCCTATTTTTCTATAAATTCTTTCATTCAAGATTGGAAAATGCCCCTAAAAAAAGCAGTTTATGGGAAGAGATGTTTTATTAGGGTCTATTAAAGGTCTATATGGTTTTTAAAGGTCAGTATATTAAAGTTATTTGCATTTCATATACAAATATTTGCTGAAACATTAAAATAATGTGTATTACTACAGATCAAATATCTGTGGGAATTGTATTTACACTTTGTTAGTTGGTTGTTTAGAACTAAGAATTGCTTTTCTCGTAGAAACAGTATTATAGATTATAGTTTGATTCTTAGGCCAACCCACAAGTGTACATCTATAATATACTTGAAATATATTATTCATTCTCCACTGAAAGTCTCCTCAGTGAATGAACTTGTGTTCTTCAGAGTTGTGGCAGTAGAACACAGATAGGGACAGGTTCTGAATCTAGAAAGGCTGGAAGAGGAGCCTGTGATGGCTTCTGTCTCTTATTAGCCATGGGCCAGTGTAGCTTATCACCACGAAGACCAAGTAGCAGATGAATTTTTATTTGGCCATAGAAACCCATGAAAACTTAGAGAGAAAGAGGCTGTGATCTGTATTGGTGGAAGGTAGTAACCACATCAGTGGAATCACGAATCTTTGTAGTATTGAAATAAGTCATGAGACTCATGAAAAAAGATCTTTTGAAATAGAAGAAATATTGTACTGATAATTTGGTGAATTTATGATCTCATAAGTGTGAAGGCTCCTTCCAGCAGTATGGATTGTGTAGCTCTACCACTCCCCCTCGTTTTCTGTGATACTTTGTCATGTGTTTGTGTAAACCCTCTGCCAAGTGTTCCCCCCGTAGCTGGATAGCCTGCCCACTGGTTCCCCTTGGTCCTTGCTGTGTTATTATTTGCTCACCTCCTTTCTGGTCACACATTTCCTTCTTGATGTTTTCTATGACATTTACCCTTTTGAGTTCATTGTTGGCAGTCTCTTGTAACTTGGTCATGCCTACTCTGTACTTCTCCACTGCCATTTTGGTGACTGACAGCTTGAATTCTTCAGAGGAGTGACATTCCATACTTTGTAGCTATTTATGGAATGAAAAAATGTTTGAAAGATAGTCCTTTGTTTCAGATAGAACCTTAAGGTCATTAAACACTGTTTATTTTCTGAAAGTCAGTATAGCCTACACTCCCCCTATTTAATTCTGGGTCTAGTTCATTGTCTATCTGCAGTATCTAGAACTAGGCTTAGGTGACCAGGGTTTTACCCCAAGTGGGAAATGTTCTTTAGGGTGGAAAATTCAGAAGGTTCCGACAATACCTATATTTCTTCAGGGAAGGAGGAGTAGGGTCAGGGTCCTGTGGTGGGGCAGAATATGGTGATAGGATAGGGAAAACAAGTAGGAACAGCTCAACCGTGCATCTTCCTCTGTCAGATAAAGTGATCTGATTAGATGACCCCTAATGTTGTTTCCAACTTCATTCTTCTAGCATGACACTTAAAAGATTTTAGGGCAGTTGACTTTTTAAGCTCTCTGTCAGCCTTTTCCTCAAAAGCATCTCTTGGCTATCTATTGCCTGTCTGCCAGTAATCAGGCTGCTTAGGTGCCATGAGAGAAACAACTGACCCATCACTTTGATCTGGAGAACAATCAGCTAAAATGGAATCTACCAGATGGCTTGTTTCCTGGGTGGTTGGGGGGAGTGATGGGGTGGGGGGGCGGGGGCGGTGCGCAGCTGCCCAGCAGAAGACTTGTGATCTCCTAGAGTCTCTTCCCACTGGGACTGGTGTCCTGTGGTTCTTACCTCCCTGAGTGGGGTGGTGCCTGCCATGACCCTAATATCACTTGTTTTGGGTCAGGTTTGCGGTTCTTGTCCTCGGTGCAGAAATTCCTGCTGCTTCTCTTGGTTTTTCCAGGATATATGTTCTGATAGACTAGCTCTGTGAGTCATCCATCCAACGGTATTCTATAGTCTGGATAGAATACATTCTTTTTTTTTTTTTGTGATTATGGATCTCTCTTAGGAGGCTTTCCAGTGTTCCAGACCTTGATGCAGGAAAAAAAATGTCCTTCCTGAACAAGAATGTCTAGAAGGCCTCACTCACTATCTCTAGGGTGGATTCTGTGATGTAAACTGTGCCTGTTTTTATGGTCATCTTTTTACAAATGTTAATTGTGAAATCTTCAATACAGGATGACTACATTTCTGTGGTCTGCATCACCAAGGACCTGTGGCCTGATGGTCTGTGCTTTTATCCTTGTTCTGGTTCCAACTCATGAGTTTGGCTTGAGCCAAACTTGGCGTTAGGAAATTCATGTTAATTTCTTATTAAATTCTTGACTCTCAGTCTCTGTACACAAAGCCTATTTCAAGGCTTCCCAGCAGACTTCCCTAGGGCTGTGTGGAGATTGGTGAGGAGGCTCCCCTCAGCAGCCCTTTGCCTTTGTCATCTTCTACCCAGACTTTCATGAAAGTGCTCTCTTCCAGTTCTTCTCGTACCTACTTGACCACTCTTTTGCTGGATTTTAGTCTAGTTCTCACTGGCTAATCCTGGGGAATCCCACAGGACTCTATCCTGGGCCTTCTTCTCTTCTCCCTCTTATTATTGTACTTGGTGATCTCTTCAACTCCTGTGGATTTAGTGATCATCCCTATGCTGATAATTCTCAGATCTGCTTATCCAGCCCTAACCTCTCTGTTGACCTCCAGTCTTAAATTTCCAGCTGCCTGTCGAACGTTTCTCTGGGTAACTAGATGTCCTGTAGACATCTGAAACTCAGCATGTCCAAAATGGAGCTCATCTTCTTTCCCCACAAACCTTTCCACCTCTACACTTCCCTCTTACTGTTGAAGTTACCATCATCTGCCCAGTCACCCTGGCTTGCATCCCAAGTGTCTTCTTCATTTCCTCACTACTCACCTTCTCCCCCACTCCCCAATCCAATCTGTCACCAAGGCCTTTGATAACCTTTGTAACATGTCTCCAATATGCCCACTTCTCTTTGACACAGCCCCCACCCTGATAAAGACCTTCATCATCTGCCTGCTGGCCTGCTGATTGGTCTCCCTTCCTCTCCAGTCCATCCTCCACTTAGCTGTCAAAGTGATCTTCCTGAAATGGCAGCTGTCATCCTGTCATCCCCTGTTCAGTCAGCCAGTTTTCCCTGTCACTTCTAGGATGATATATAAAATTTTCTGTTTCTCATTCATAACCTGGACCCTTCCTGCCTTTCCAGTCTTCTTATATCTGCATCTCCCCCCCCCCAATTATCTGCTAGTGATCAGCACCCCAGTTTCATTTATTCTATGATGCAGTGGCATTGGCCTTAAATAAAATATTTCATATCTCAACTTCAGGCGTTTTCTCTGGCCCCGTCACGTCATGCCTGCAGTGTTCTCCCTCCTGCTCTCTGTCTCCTGGCTTCCCTGGCTTTCTTCAAGTTCTATTTAAAATCTCACTTTCTAGAGGAAGCCTATCCCGGGTCCCCTAGTTCTGGTGCCTTCCTTCGGTTGGTTATTTTCAATTTATCCTGTCTATGGTTTGTACATAAGTATTCATGTTGTATGCTTTCTATTAGAATACCTGAAGAACAATGGCTATTCAGCCTTTTTGTTTCCCTAGCACTTGGCATAGCTTCTAATAAATAATAGGTACTTAACAAATATTTTTTTACTTTAATTGATCTTTATTGTAGAAAAAAGGAGTAAAATTCCAGACCTAGGCAGTCCAGCGGCAGTCCTTTGTAGGCCTGGTCTTCTCTTTGGGTTATACGTATGTTGTCAAGGACTGCTTACACAGCTTTATGGGTTAGTTGTGATGATGTCCGTAAGTGTAAATGTGTGTTTAAAAGGATCAATCTGTATTTCCTAGGTTGGCGATCCCATAGATTCCTAACTGCTATTTTGAGGTCCACTCCAGATTGCTTGTTAGCATACTTCTCTTGGTTTCTAAAGGCTATTTGGCATTTTCTTTTGGTAGAGATGTTACATATTCTTCCATTAATGACTTCACATTTGAAGACTATGCTAATGAAGGGCCCATCAAACTGGAAAGTCTTCAGATGGGGGACAAGTGACCTTCCTAAAGTGGGGTCTTTTGAACAAAGATCAGCCCAAGTTCAGAGAGCTTTAGTATTAGAAGTTAGTGACAAGATCATCATTTCCCCCAAAATTCGTGAAGGATTTTTACTAAGGTGTGCAGAAGACGATCTGCATCCTTGGAGGAGGTATTCACTGCTCATTCAATTACTATTAACTTGCATTCTGAGACTGGCTGAATTCCGTTTGAAAGTCATTGAGTCGTCCATTGCTTTTATTACAGGTGAATGAAATCGCGTTTATAAATACCCTGGAAGCCCAGAATAAACGTCACGATGTGCTTTCTAAGCTGAAAGAGTATGAACAGCGGCTGAATGAACTACAGGAAGAACGTCAGCGAAGACAGGAGGAAAAGCAAGCCCGGGATGAGGCAGTACAGGTAAAATTTGGCTTTGAGAGCTCAGAAATTGTAATTACTGAGAGTAATTAACATTTAATTGGCACATCCTCGAGTTACCGAGCCAGCTGAAGAAATCTAAACTTGCTTTTCCAGAGAAAGGGCATCTACAACTCCACCTCACTCCCTGAAGGAGTCAGGATGTGTCTGCTCTGCTTCTGTTGGCCAGGACCCCAGTGAGCATGTTTCCCCCCACTTTCAGCTACTAGTGATTAGCACCCCAGTTTCATTCAACCAATTAATTTAAATTAGCTTTTACAAAAGGGTATTTACTGCAAAGATATAGCAAGAACAGAAGCACAAACATTTCCCCTAACACTTGGGAGCACACTCTCCCAATTATCACCTTGGTCTTTGGGATGACTCATGGCCTTAACACAGTTGCTACATAGAATTTGTCCCCCCTATTTCAGTTATAAGTCTGGGATAGCCATGAATGAGTCCATCTCTCCTACTGGTCAGTCGGGACTTTGCTTATCAGAGTTTGGCTTTTGGGAGGGGAATGGAAGAGAAGGAAATGCCACAGTGGAGGAAGGGAAAGCAGACAGAAGTTATGTGACTTCCCTCTGGTTGCACAGATTGACAGATCTCTGTGTGGAATCTAGTCCCTGTCCTCTGGTGGCTCACTCTCTTCAGTTTTTGAAGCTTGTAACATTATGGCCACTTCCAGTCTCCTTCACTCAAAGCAGGAAATATACAAGGAGGAAAGGGAACAAGCATTTGTGGAGCGCCTACCGTGTGCCAGGAGCAGCACTAAGTGCTTTACAGTTATTGTCTCCTTTGATCCTCACAACCACCTGGGAGAGAAGTGCTGATACTGTCCTCTTATTACAGCTGAGGAAACAGAGGCAGACAGAACAGTCGAGGCTAGACTGGAGCTCAGGTCTTCTTGACTTTAGATCCAGTGCTCTTTCCACGGTGGTACTGCTTCACTGCCTCCAGGCCAGGCAGTGACAGAGCCGGGAATGGGGATCCCTGACTATAATACCAAACAGAAGGAAAACATGAGAGGTTTGAAATTCTTAGGCGATGTCAGCCTGGAGCTCAGGACGCTGATGCTGGTGATGCTGGTTTGGGTGACAAGAAAGAGGGGTTAGTATTACTCCTGGGGATTTACTTTTTTTTAAAGTGTAATTCCCCCCCCACTCACACCCACTGAAAAGCAGTACCGAGCCTTAGTGTCCTGAGAGCACTGTCGAGCCCCACGAGCGTCCTCGTGCTCCGTGTCTTCTTTCTCAGTCCTCTTGAACCACAGCTGATCATTTTGCTGATCAGTTCTTAATTCTTTCAGAATTGTTCATTTTAAAAATCTTGTCGATATTATCCTATCACTGCTCATTTCACTCTGTATCACTCCATACAAGTTTTCCTAGGCAGGTAAAGGAAGGTAATAAGCATTGATTAAGCTCTGCCTGTGTGCCAGCCACTGTACCAGTTCCTCTATGGATGTTATCTGATTTGGTCCTCACAATAATCCCTGTGAGGTAGGTCTCTTTGAAACCATCTTTTTAGAAATAGAAGATATGCCTAAGGGAGAAAAGAGAGAAGGGACAAGAAGAGGTCAGGTCAGATCACTGGGGACATTCTTGCTCAGGGGGCAGGAGAAACACTGTGCATCAGTGAAGGGGATCAAGGAGTGGTCAGATAAGTCACAAGAGACAAAGGGTAGAGAGGATGGGGTCAAACCAGACTGAAGAATAGCATAATAGCATTTATAGAGTACTTTAAGGTTTGCTAAGCTCTTTACAAACATTATCTCATTTCATCCTCACAACAACCCTGAGAGGGGGGTGTTGGGATTTTTTTTTTCCCATTCTACAATGAGGAAACTAAGGTAGAAGAAATTAAGTGACTTGCTAATGAATATTGAATATCTTAGCCTGGCTTTGAACCCAGGTCTTCTGACTCAGCCCTCTCTCTGCTTTGCTACCACACACCTCTCCTGTCAGATCCTGTACACAGTTCATGTACCCTTTTGTGATGAAGTCCTTGTAATGGTGAAGGGGCAGGATGGGGTCCAAAACTAGGATTTCATGTGTGGACACTCCCTTCATTAATGCAGAATGCAGCTCATCTCTCAGTTATAGGGGATTGCCAGGGAGGCACTCAGAGGCTCAGTGACTAGAATGTGTCAGGGGCAGGACTTGAACCCAAGGTTTCCTGAATCCCCAGCCAGCTCTCTGTTGCTTCTCATGTTCCTTCTCAGCAATGAAAAGAGTAAACTTTGTGTTTGGGCATTTCATTTGTCCAGTGAGGTCAGTGCTGCAGGTATCATCAGTCTTGTTTTATAGATAAAGATGCTGAGCCTCAGAAGGGAGAAGTAGTGATTTGTGCAGAGCCTTAGGACAGTCAGCATTGCTGCTGTGGCCTCCGCACCCAGTTCCCCTCTGCTGCCTGCCCCATGAGCCGTGCACACTCAGCTGCATTCAGACAGCAAGTTCTCCACAAAGTCAATTATGTAGAAGGTCACTAAGAGAGCCGATCAGCAGGCCAGTATTTATGGTATGGCTGCTGTGTGCAAGGCACACAGTCCAGGGTGTGTGCTTCGAAAGCATGGTTGAGTACCCATAGAATATACACAATTTTCATCAAGTCATTTTGTATTAATGATTTATCGTATTATGTTATTAAATTAATAATTTTGTGATTAAATACTTTTGTTGCAGCAAATCAGATAGAAAGAATAAGTTACTTTAAGACTGATGTATTTTGTCCTTTGGGTTTAGTTTGCCACTGCTAGGAATGTGTTACCTGTGACTAAGGCAGGAATCTAATCTCTTGATGTATGAAAAGAGTTGGGATGGCTTTCGATATTTTTCAACTGAAAACCAGTATCTTTGGAAACCATGATTCTGACATTAGGAACGCAAACGAGCTCTGGAAGCTGAGCGGCAGGCTCGTGTGGAAGAGCTGCTGATGAAGAGGAGGGAGCAGGAGGCACGCATCGAGCAGCAGAGACAAGAGAAAGAGAAAGCCCGGGAAGATGCAGCCCGGGAACGAGCCAGGTAGCTCCCCGCTGGTGAAATGGTGGTGGTGGTGGGCTGTTTCCCGAGCGCTCCAAAATGCTGGTCCAATTTACCAGAAATTCTGTTGCTGCTGTGAAAAATAGTTAAAGAATTTCCTTGGACGGGCGGGCAGAAATTACCCTCTGCATCATTCCCCATGTTGATATTGAATTTAGCATGTTGAGTCTCAGACCCAGTCTTAGCACTCCAGAACTCTCAGGTAGGTTCTTTGACTTTAAGTCTAAGAGGACCATTGCTAAGTCTATGGCCCTCAGAGGTCAAAGAAAGAGGAAGAGGATCCGTGTGTACATAAGTATTTATAGCCACTCTTTTCATAATGGCAAAGAATTGGAAATTTAAGGGATGCCCATCAGCTGGAGAATTGCTAAGTCATGGCATATGTATGTGATGGAATCCCATTGTGTTATAAATAACGATGAAGGGGATGGTTTTAGAAAAACCTGGAAAGGTTAATATGAATTGATGCAAAGTGAAGTGAGTAGAACCTGGGAAACAATTTAGGCAGTAATAGCAGTAAGAGTTGGAGGCAGAATTAGGGTACCTAGGCACTGGGCCTTTGGCTGCCCCTCACAGACAATACTCCTTCCCTTTTCCCTGGTCTTTATGTTGACTATCACTAGTGCCTGGAAGGTACTCTGTCATTGGCTTTGCCTCATATCATTTTTTATTTCCTTGAAGAATCTGATGAAGTCTTCCCCATCCCAACTGCTGCTAGTGCCCTCCCTCCTAAGTATTCATTTTGTATTGACTCTGTATGCACTTACATGCTTATATCTTTTCCCTCTCATAAGCTGCTTTAAGGGAAGGAATGGTTTAATTTTTGTCTTGATACCTCTATAGCCTAGCCCGGAGTATGGCACATCGAGACACATAATAAATTCTTGTTAATCAAGTAAACTTGTTAAACCATTTACAGATAATCAGTTACTACTGTTGGACATGAGGTTCAAACCTAGGAGATCTGCCTTCCGGAACAGGGAATAGTTGTTGGGTCCTGGTGTAAATAAGTGCTTCATTTTATATTTCCCCAAGTAGTAACAAAATAGTCACATTCTGGGAACCACAAATGAGAATGGTGGCTATTTCCTCAGACTCGTGGCCCTTTAGAGCAGCTTTGTCAATTCTTTCTTCCCCTGAAATTTCTTGATTGCTTAAAACTCAGGAAGATTGGGAACCTCCTTTTTTCCAACCTGATGTAAATTATTTAGCAATATTTGAGCTCCATTCACTCACTAGAAATCACTAATGCTTACTTATTTTAAACCAAACACATTCAGAATCATCTTGTTAATTTCAATAGGAGCATTACTGAAAATTATTTACATATAAATACTTTGTGTGTGTGTGTGTACACAGGGAGAGAGGGAGGGAGAGAGAGAGAGAGAGAGAGAGAGAGAGAGAGAGAGAGAAATAAGGTGTGAATGTGTTCTTTGTTGCCCATAAAAGAAACAAAATTTTGTTCATCAAATGTAATTAAATTTTCATAGGCATTTTAGATAACTTGGCAGTGAAGCTTTTACTCATGAAAATTTTTAACATTTGAAAATGTGCCCTTTAAATGAAGGTGAACCAAATCAACATTTAGGATCTTTATTTGGTCTAGTGTTTGGCAAGAAAATAAATTGTCTTTGTTTAATTTGGCATAGTGTTCAAAAACATTTGTACTTATTTTAGCACTGAGAATAAGAAAGTAACAAACTTACTTTAAATTGAACTGCGAGTCACAATATCCTATGTCTAGAAGTGGAAGAGAGCTCAAAGGTTATCCAACGTAACTCACTCATTTTACACATCAGAAAATGGAGGCCCAGCAAGGGTGAGTGACTTGCCTGTGGTCATACAGTTTATAAGTATCAGAGGTGGGATTTGAACTCTGATCCTTGGATTCTAGAGCACAGGCCACCAGTTTTCACAACCTTTACTTAAAGTTATTTATCTTGTAACTCACTCCTTTCAGCTCCATGATTGTATGTTTTCTCTTGTTGTCATCTTTAGAATCTATTTTTTGAATGTCATGATAATTGCTGCTCGTTTTAGAACATTTCTTTTGATCTAGTATATGTGGAGCTCAATTTTTTTTTTGCGCTAGGCAGTGGGGTTAAGTGACTTGCCCAAGGTCACACAGCTAGTAAGTGTCAGGTGTCTGAGGCGGATTGAACTCAGGTCCTCCCGACTCCAGGTCCAGTGCCCTAGCCACTGTGCCACCTAGCTGCCCCTACATTTTTTTTTTGAGGCAACAGGGTTAAGTGTCTTGCCCAGGGTCACACAACTAATAATTGTCTGAGACCAGATTTAAACTCAGGCCTTCCTGATTCCAGGGCCAATGTGCTCCATCTACTGTACCACCTAATTGTTGGGTTATGAAGAGGTTATTAAGAGGTCTGTAAAAGAGTAACCAAGTGCTAAAAGCGAAGCTTAATCACCCACAAGCAGGCCAGCAGAATCAAGGCTAACCATCAGAGCCATTATGGAAAGGAGAGACAGTTGTGCAAGAACTTGAATCCCCACTATGTAATATTTGTATTTGCTAACCTGAGGATGCTTTCAGTCAGCCTACAGGAAATGAATTTACATTGTTATGCTTTAAAACTCAGCTACAGAAAAAAAGTTCATCAGCTGAGTAGTATAAAGAACATTAAGTATAAATGAAAACAGCAGGATAATGTTTTGTCTTAGAACCATTTCTAACTGAACTCCATGGAACAGGATGACAAAAAAAGTTATAATAAAGATAATAATCTTAATGCACCAGAAATTCTCTTTCCTTCATAAACTAACAGATGACAAATCCCTGTGATACAAATACAGACTTCAAAATATTCTTTAAAAAGTTTTATTTCTGTATTTATTTTTTAGCATTCATTTTTTAAAAACTTGAATTCCCAGTTCTCTTTCTCCTTCCAGCCCATCCCTTACCCATTGAGGAAGCAAGCAATATGACACCCATTATGCTTGTGAAGTCATGCAAAACGTTTTAATGTTAGCCATGCTGCAAAACAACAGCAAAAAAAGAGCAAGAAAAGTAAAGTGGAAAAAGTATGCTTCAGTTTGCACTCCAAGTTTAAGAGTTCTCCTTCTCTAGGTGGATAGCATTTTTCATCATGAGTCCTTTGTAACTAACTTGGATCATTGTGTATATGTTAGAGTAGCTAAGTTATTCACAGTTGATCATCATTTAATATTGCTGTTACTGTTAGTGGTCTCTTGATTCTGTTCACTTCACTTTGCATCAGTTTGTATAAGTCTTTCTGGGTTTTTCTGAAACTATCCTTGTATCATTTTTTATAGCACAATAGTATTCCTTCACAAATATAAACAACTTGTTCAGACATTCTCCAACTGATGAGCATCCCTTCAGTTTCCAATTCTTTGCCACCCCCAAAAAAGCTGCTCTTAATGTTTTGTAATATATAGGTCCTTTTCCTTTTTCTTTGATCATTTTGGGTTTCAGTTAGTGGTATTGCTGAATCACAGAGTATGCACAGTTTTATAGCCTGTTGGGTGTAGTTCCAAATTGTTCTCCAGAATGATTATACTGGCTCACAACTCCAACAACAGTGTATTAGTGTCCCTGTTTTTTCACACTGTCTCCAGCATTTGTCATTTTCCTTTTCTGTCCTGTTAGCCAATCTGATGGGTACCTCAATCTGGTGTTCCTCAAGGTTGTTTTAATTTGCATTTCCCTAATCATTAACAAGTTAGAACATTTTTTTTAGAGTGTTGATAGTTTGATTTCTTCTTCTGTCTGTTAATATATCCTTTGACCATTTATCAGTTGGGGAAGGGCTCTTATTTTTATAAATTTAGCTCAGTTCCCTAAATATTTGAGAAATGAGGCCTGTATCAGAGAAGCTTGCTATAAAGCCGCCCCCCCCCTTCTTCTAATTTTGTCTGCATTGGTTTTGTTTGTGTAAAAAGTTTTAAATTTCATGGTATCAAAATTATCCATTTTATTTCCTGTGATCCTCTCTATCTCTTGTTTTTTCATGAACTCTTCCCTTATCTATCATGTTTCCATGCTCCCCTAATTTGCTTATGATATCATGCTTTATGCTTAAGTCCAGTATCCATTTTGACCGTATTTTGGTATATGGTATTAGATGTTAGTCTATGCCTAATTTCTGCCAGACTGCTTTATAGTTTTCCCAGGAGTTTTTGTCAAATAGTGAGTTCTTGTTCCAACAGCTTGGATCTTTGAGTTTATCAAAGACTAGATTACTATGGTCATTTACTAGTATATATTATGTACCTAATCTACTCCATTGATCCACTACTCTGTTTCTTAACCAGTCCCAGATTGTTTTGATGATTGCTGATTTATAATACAGTTTGAGATCTGGCTGCTAGGCTGCCCTCCTTTACTTTTTGCCCCTATTAATTTCCTTAATATTCTTGACCTCTTCTTCCAGATAATTTTGTTATTATTTTTTCTAGTTCTGAAACACAATTCTTTCATAGTTTGGTGTGGTACTGAATAAGTAAATTAATTTGGTAGAATTGTAATTTTTATTATATTGGCTCAGTCTATACATGGACAACTAATATTCTCCAGTTGTTTAGAGCTGTCTTTATTTGTGTGAAAAGTGTTTTGCAATTGTATTCATGTAGTTCTATAGTTTGTCTTGGCAGACTCCCAAGTATTTTATATGTCTGCAGCTATTTTAAATGAATTTTATCTTTTTATCTCTTGCTGCTCCTGGACTTTGTTGATAGTATATCGAAATGCTGATGATTTATGTGGGTTTATTTTTTATTCTGCAACTTTGCTGAAGTTGTTGTTTCAGCTATTTTTCAGTTGAATCTCTAGGGTTTAAGTATACCATCATGTCATCTGAAGAGTAATAGTTTTGTTTCCTCTTTGCTTGTGCTTATTCTTTCAATTCCTTTTTCTTGTCCTATTGCTATATAATGTTAATAATAATAATGATGATGATGATGATGATATTGCTATAGCATTTCTTATACATTATTGAATAATA